ACCACTCTGGTCGAGAAAGTATTCGAGCAAAGAAGCATATGAATGCAAAGCGAGAGGATGGTCATTTTCTCAGTAAGATGCAGAAACCAACACCTGAAATCTCTGAAGAGAGCAATGATGTGATGACAAAAGACATTATGCTTGATCAGGTATCTGATTGTTCATCATATGGGTTAAGCAGGAGAGACACTTTGGAGATTGACGATGAGATGCTTGAGTTGTGGGAAACTGCCAATCGCAATGGCAGCATAGACCTGAAAGTTGGAAAGGCTTGGAAGGGAGTTACCATGCCAACCGATCACCATAACATTGAACCAGTTAAGTAACGGAAGGGAAAAAATCTCTCCACGGAATCTCTGGTAAAGGAGTTGGGTGTAGACAAATTAGAGGTCCCAAAGAGATATGCAGAGCCAGACCAGGAAGGAAGCAGGAGGAAGATTTTAGAAAGGCTAGATTCTGATGCACAAAAGTTGACAAACCTTCATATCACCGTGCAGGACTTGAAGAGGACGGTGGAGATTACTGAGAAGGCCAAAAAGGGGAAGGGACTTGAACTTGATACTGTTAAAGGGCAGCTGGAAGAAGCTGAGGAAGACATCATGAAGCTGTTTGGCATAAATCGCAAATTGGTGTCTCATGTTGAAGATGGTTCCTTGTCCCTTGATGGGAAATCCACAATAGAGTCAGATGGGAACAGAAGTCTCAGGAGGCGGACAATATCAGAACAGGCACGGAGAGTGTCTGAAAAGATTGGGCGATGGCAGTTGGAGGTGCAGAAGTTACAGTTTCTTTTACTGAAACTCGATGATGAAAAAGAAAGCAGGGGAAGAACCAGAATTACAGATCGAAAAACAAGAGTTCTCTTGAGAGACTATCTCTATGGTGGGAGAAGAACTATCCAGAAGAAAAAGAAAACACCTTTTTGTTCATGCGTGCAACTCCCAACAAGAGGAGACTGAGGCAATTACATTTGGCATGCATCATCAGTCAACATTGTTTTCAAATGTAAGGAGACATTAGTTGTATTGTCCATAAATTTTCTTAGACAGAATTTGGCCGTTGGTTTAGAGGCTCTATTGTACATTTCAGGCTCTATCTATCAAAAGAAGCTGCTCTATTGTGACCGCCTTTGCTTAAATCTGGGTTTTATTCTATTTACCTTTTTTCATTTCTACATCACCATACAATCTGATGATCAATTGCCTCTGAAGCTACTAAGTTTTCACATTTTTAATGGAGCTCTTATACAGCAAAAGGAAGAAATCACCATGAAAAATAAGCTGTTAACACTTTTTCTTGCTTTATTCATCTTTGTAACGCAAGGGCTTAAAACTTCACCATAACAAGCCCGTTCATAAAGTGTGGTCCTGCACTCGTTATTCTTTCTATCATATCTGAAACACAAGACTTCATGAAACTCGTTAATTAAAGAGAAATACAATGAAGAAATCTATTGATAACAAACATGTAATCCCAACCCAAGAATCATTTCCCCAATTCAGAATTGAGAATTGTAGAAGAAGAAACAACAATCTAGAGGAGAACGAAGGAGAAAGAAAGAGGAGACCGATATGGAGAGGAGGAAACACAGGAGAAGAACACAGAGGGTAGAAGAGAAACTGTAGTTCGTTATCTTATCCAAGCAGGGCTTTCTGATTCAAAGTCTTTACATTTATAGTCCCTAGCACAAGCTAAAATACACTAATTACCCTTTTAAAAAAGAAATGGATGGTATAAGGTAGTTCGTTGTTTTATTCTTTTTTGTCCATTGCATATTTTTGTGTTATTTTCATGGTAAAAATTTAATTAAAATTATTTAAAATATACAAATTATTAATTAATTTTTTTTATCTTAAATTATATAATAAAAAATTAATTAAAATTAATTATTTATAATAAATTT